TTTGGCTTATGCGGTGGGGTAGAACTCCACCTTCCATACAAGTAGTCACCAGTTAGCGACTCTCAGGCTCCTTTGCAAAGGAGTTGCTGTTACCGACCTTTCCACTACAAGGCACTAGATATTCAGCTCGGGCAACCCAGTATATAAAAACAATGTACTGTGTGCTTAAAAGATGAGATGATTCACTCAAATGATGAATGCTTCATTTTGGCAACTTGACCATGAATGTGAACTCCCATCTGTTGTAGTGAAGTAACACCTGTCTCATATGAACCATAAATAGCTTTCCAGGAAATGACTTGAAGCTCAACTTTTGCAGAATCAAATTCAAATGCATCAGCAAAATATATAAACTCTCCAAGATGAACAATCTGTGTGAAGTTCAACCAGTAAGCCACAGAGAACACAAATTGAATATCCAAGGTGGAACGCAAAAGTGGTTTCAGAACTCCCAAGCTTTATCACTAAGCAGAAAAGGGGATTAAGCAAGGCACATGTAGGTGGAGTGCCTGGGCCTTTAAAGGGCTGCCAGAGGTTCCTAGAAGGTCCTTCTGAGTGCTGGTTTCTTGAGATCCAGTCCTGCTGGGAGTGGAGCTTGAGACACATGCAGAGGACAGGCTACTGTCCAGGTCTCCTGTGCCCAGGCACTTGCCTCCACAGTGTTTATGTACACAACTCCTTCCTCCCCAGCATAGGGTCCTGGCCAGAGCCCACCGGCCACGTGCTTTCCTTGCTTTCTTGCTGTCATCCCATGCAAATTTCAGAGCTTTGCTGCTGATGCCGTTGTCATGACTGAGACGATGGATGAATGATTTGAAAACATTTGCCAAGAAGCACAAAGCACCTTGTCCTATTGGCTTAACACCAAATTGTTATTTACTGCTGTAATCTCCTGTTTCTGTCCACATTTGCCCTGCCTAGTACCCAATTATCATCTGCCACAATCCCTCTGGCTGCCACGGTGTTTACGGAATACCCCACCCCAGGCATGGGATTCCCCCATTTTCACCCGCATTGGAGGGCAGTGTGTGTTTACACAGAGGTGACCAAGGCCTCCTGAAAAGAATGGTCTCTTCCCTGATTCTATTTTTTCTTGCCTAGAAACACCCTCACCAGGCAGGCATGTCTGCTCCTTTTTCTAGACAGCAGGAAGTTTACATGACACAAAGGAAAGTTTATTGTATTTAAAGTATGGCAGATGAAAAATAAATAATAATTTTTAAAGGGATGGGCACTGGGTGCAGCATTTACGATGCTGGGCACTGGACAGATCCCATAGCAGAGTTCCTGGGTTCAAGCGCTGGTGCTGCTTCTGATTCAGCTTCCTGCTAATTTGTACCCTGGTAGGCATTAGATGGTGACTCAAGTGCTTGCGTCCCTGCCACCCATGCAGGAGTCCCAGGTTGAGTTCCTGGCTCCAGGCTTTTGACTGGCATAGTTCCAGCTGTTTGCGGGCATTTGGGACATGATCCAATGGGTGGGAGAACTCTGCCTCTCTTAACTTCCAAATAAACAAAAATAAATAATAAAGTCTAGCAGATGGATATGAGTTGTGTGGCTGTGAGAACACTATCAAGCTCTGTTTACTTCTCTGTGAGACCAGGAAATATCTCACGTAGTGCTTGGCATAGAGCAGGTATTCCAGTGATGGTTATCAATACTAAAAGTTATACTGATGATATTATACATCATTATTATGTACATGTAAGAGAGCATTTTCTAAAGTTCACAAAAATGGAATTACAACATGAGTTTATTTTGATGTAAAAAATTGAAATCCTATCAGTTTTTCTTTCATGATATGCATTTACCAAGAACTTTTCAAAGTGTCTTTGTATATACTAGCACAGAGAGAAACCTTTTAGAACATCCGCGAACCTTCTGAGAGTCCCAACCCCTCCCTCCCATCCTGCGCCCTGGGGATCTGTAACTAAGACATCTCGGGCTATCTGTGGGACAGATGGAGACTTGCGTTTGCTCTTGACCCTGAAGCTATCCTAGGAATCAGGCCAGAAGAGACACTGACCAGTTAGTAAATATTGTCCCACCATCAGGAAATTTCACTGGCTATGGCCTAGAAAGGTAGATCCCCACAGAAAAACTGAAATACTTCCTAGAATATGAAGAATATTCTGCTTGTCCCAGCAATGACAGTAATAATAGGTGTATTGTATACTATATACGTATAATTTAGATACACAGACACATTACTGTATACTCAGTGTTTGTCATTTCTCTGCCAAAATATCTTTAAATTACCTTAGCAATGGAAAGATCACAGAAATGTGGGGTTGGGTATTTGGACAGTGGGGTTGTAATTGGGGGCACGCTGATGAACCTACTCTTAGGGCAGGGAGTGTGAGAGAAGAGGTTTGTAGTGTTTGTCCATTTCTGGGATGTGAATATTCCAACTGTGACTCATTTCCAGCTATCAACCTGACATCTTTTTCAACATTTGTTGAAAATTAAATAGCTTTCTTTATGGCAGAACTTCTTAGAGACTTTAGTAACTTCTTAATATCGTAAATGCATAAGATAAAGCTATAGTATTTGGCCTTTCCTAAGCATTTTTCATGATGCAGATGTTAACAATAATTAGAATTCTGTTAGGTGAAATTCCTATTAAAAGGAAAGAGAAAGAATTCTCAAAAAGTTACCATCCTCTCCCCACTCCAGTATCCAAACACAATTTCTCCCTTTTGAACCTAAGGCATTCGACTGTTGTTGAATGCTTACTAAGTACTGACTGTGAAATTTGGATATACCAAAGTTTCTAATTTAAAGCTAACATTATCCTGAAAAAAAAAAAAAACAGAATTATTATCTGCTATCCAATTTCCAGATTAGAGATCTAAGCCTGACCAGATTACTTCACCAGAGTCACAGTTTGTTTGAAGTGAAAGGGGTAACTGATACTGCCAATCAAGCAGTGCCTTTCCCAAGAGCCCGTTCAGAAGCAAAAATGACATCTAAGCTTCCTGGATGTGCCTGCTGCAATCGATCTTATAGGTGAAGAGCGATTTTAGCAACAGCGACACCTTGTGGCTGCATCCGCCTTGCCTGAATAGCCAGAGAAGCTGAACGGGATCCCTTCCTAGGGAATCACCCGGGGAGAGTAGGGGGACTCTGAGAGCTCAGAGGGTTCTGCCGCAGCGTCATCTGGTCATTTCAGGAACAGCCCGAGATGAAAGATTCAGAGCTGTTTCTCTTTTCTCCCAGCTCTTTTTGATTTCTATGATTAAACTGAGAAGCAAGTAAGTTTGCTGCTCCAGCCATCTCCAAAACAAAACTGCACTTTAAATGCATGGGGGACTCTTTGATGTTACCGAAAACGCTAATGGACCTTAATTTCCACGTGACTTTCAGATTCTAGGAGGCCTCTGCACATTCTTTTCATGTGTTTTCAGAGAGATTTCAGATGCTGTTTTATGAAATAGAAAAATAGACACATTTTTCTAAAGCAGCCACAGTGCCTCCAGGTTCTTAGAAGATAACAGGGTGTGGTCAAGTCATTTGAAGGGACATATGAAAGATACAAGGGAGAATAGAAAAGACAAAACTGGACAACACAGTGAAGAAATTCAAAGTAAAAAAGAGATTATTTTAAACTAGCCTTTTATTATAAAACCAAAGTCCTACCTGTGTCATCAGACTTCACAAGGAGCCAAAACATGATTAAACACACATTTGGGATTCTACAGTGAAGAGTTGAAGATCCAGGCAAATTTGTTGCAAATTTTTCAGGGGTTAAGGTGATGGGGAAAGAAAGATTTAAAATTTTTGGAGGTACCATGACTTGGGAGGCAAAATAAAGAAGTGGAAAATGAGTGTGATTTTTGTTTATGTCGTGCTGCAACCATATCAAATCTCTGAACTTGTGTTATACCAGCCACAGAGAAGAGATCAACACCTAGAATGAGGCAAAGAGTCATCCTGAAGAGCTGCCCTAAAGCAATTTGCTGTTAAAAACTCAGGCTAGCCTGGTGGCCCAGTCATTGCACCTGTGCCTTATGCCTGACCCTTTTAGTCTGCCAGGGGATGAGGATGGTGATGGGAGCTCTGAGAAAAAGAAAAGGCAAATAAGACTTAAAGGAGATGTGGGAAGATAAGAAATGAAATAATGGGGATGGGGAGAGGAAGGCAAACAGGCAAGAGTTTCTGAGTAGCATCAGAGTAAAGAGGCCAACAAAATTAATTTCACCAGGTAAAGTCTGACTTTAAATCACCTGTAGAGAAATCTGGCCTCAAAATTCTCAGGGTGTTAGTGGAGGGTGGAGAGAACAGTGAGCACAGGAAGTCCGACAGAAGTTGTATATTTCTGAGCTGTTACATCCTTTATCCATCTGGAATGTTCTCCCAACCCCTTCCCCTGATTCAGACTCCTCCTTGGCTCTCTAGGAGCACCACACATGAGAGTATGATTTCAGATTCACAAGCATGAGATGTCCCTTTTAAATAACGGCTGAGCATACACTGCAAACACTGGCAGAGAACCCACAGGTGCCGAGCTGCAGGGGCTCACAGTCGCCACCCACAGCTGGAGCTCACTCAAGCCTCCCCAAGTCGTTGCACGTACCCCATGGCTGTCACCGCTCTTCTCAGGCTTACTGTTGTTACTATAAACAAACACTTTGTTCCCTGGATGAGACCCAAGCTCCTCGGGGGCATGGCCTATGTTTTAATCTTTTCCCTGCCTCTGTATTCTCCCACGGCTGCTGAACACAGTGGATACTCCTGCATGGCTGTATAACTGACCAAGAGGATTAAATCTTATAGCTGTTGCTTCCTTTTGCAAAGTGCTATGTTCAAGCCTGTTTACGTAGAGATGGAATTTTTCTGACTGGCTTCTGGATAGAGAAGGTCAAGGTTCTACCTGAGAAGAGGGTCACTGCAGAAAGTGTTGTCAGTGGGTAACAGCATCAAGTTGGTTAGCAGGTACAACAGATGAGAAGTGGAGCCCACCATGACATGGCAGGGTGCTGCCTGCTGTTGAGACTGACCTGAACGGGTCTTTATACTTCTCCCCAGGCTCACCCCTCGTGCCCCAGCCCCTGGGCTGCTCTTCCTGATGGAGGCACACCTGCCGCTGTCCCAGGTACTGAAAGCTATCTTCTACAGCGTCATTAGTTCATATCAAACCTGCGGGACAGGCAATACATGATAACTTAATTAACACATTCTTAGATAAGACAGCCCTATTTTAAAATAGTAAAAAGGGAAAAAAGTCTTCATAATTCATCCTCAGGAAATGAATCTCCTTCTAACAAAGCTACCACAGTATGTGTCAGAACCTGCTACTGCACAGTTCCTAATCAGCAGGGCAGCTGGGAGTGCAGTGGCTAGGGGGCAGAGAAGCAGGCAGACCTGCCAGTCAGGAGGGCCCTGCCACCTCTTCCCAGCCAGCACCTGCCCCTGATATTTCTCTGACCCAAACTCCAGAGCCAATCTCCTTTCTCTTTTTTCTCATCAGAAAATACAGAAACCAATAAAGAAAATTTTGTTATTTTTAAAAATAAGCAATTAAGAGATTGGAAGTGAAAGGACAGAGGCTGGGGCCAGCACCATGACTCACTTGGTTAATCCTCTGCCTGCGGCGCTGGCATCCCAGATGGGCGCCGAGTTCTAGTTCTGGCTGCTCCTCTTCCACTCCAGCTCTCTGCTGTGGCCCAGGAAGGCAGTGGAGGATGGTCCAAGTGCTTGGGCCCTGCACCCGCATGGGAGACCAGGGGAAGCACCTGGCTCCTGGCTTTGGATCAGCGCAGCACCAGCTGTGGCAGCCATTTGGGAAATGAACCAACTGAAGGAAGACTTTTCTCTCTCTCTCACTGTCTATAACTCTACCTGTTTTAAAAAAAAAAAGGACAGAGGCCACAAAAGAGCCTGAACTCCCCGCATACCTGTGTTCTACCCCCCAGGGCTGTGCAGGTCAACATCAGCCAGTCCCTGTATGAAAGGCTATGCCCTCGAGGAGGATGACCTTGTGTGGAGGGGTCTAGAAGCCATGTACTGCATATCTCTAACTGCATGAAGAACTTGGAGCCAGATTTCTGCTGGCATTGGCTTGTCTAGCTGTTTCCTCTATGACTAACTGGTTACTATTAAAAGTCTGTAGGGGGAAAATGGAAATAAAGGGTAAGTTTATTGTGGTGCAAAACATCTTGAAATTCATGCATATTTTTTCCAGAATATGCATTTCTATGGATTTAAATCCCTTGTGGTTGCTCCTCTCCCCATTCCAGGGTTCTCAGAGGCATTGTCTGCAGCTCACAGAACACCTGCACCATATTAATTGGTATTGAGTGGTATTTTCAGGGTTTTAATATATATTTTTCCTTTCTTATCAGATGTCCACTAAGACTTTCCATGTCTTTTGTTCATGTTCTTGCTTATAAGTTATTAGCAGAAATTATAGAGGTATATTCTAGAAAAATAATATCCTAAAGAATAATGTAAAAAAAACTCCCCCAAACATTGCCCCACAAATTAGTTACTAATGTTTCTATAATCACATTTGAAGACATCCATTATCTAGATATGTATCAGTCCTCTCTCACTCTTCTCTCTTTCTCCCTCTCTTTTTCTTTCTGAATGTATCAAAATGGACATATCTATCCTATCAAATTACTGTATCATAAGGTTTTCAAAAATCACAGTGGTTAAGATGTTGGTTGGGGTACCTGCAACCCATATTGAAGAATGCCTGGATTCAATTCCCAGTTTGCTTCAATTCCAGTTTTCTGTTAATTGACACTCTGAGAATCAGCATGTTACAACCCAAGTACTCCAGTCCCCTGATACCCATGTGGGAGAGTCAGACTGAGTTCCAGGCTCCTGGCTTTAGCCTGGCCCAGTCCTGGCTATTGTGACTATTTGTGAAATGAACCATGGATGCAAGGTCTATCTCTGCTTCTCTACTTTTTAAACAAATAAATAAATACTTCCCAAGTAAGACAGTGGGATATGGTATCAAGCAAAATCAAAGTTTAAGACACTGTTACGGACGGCGCCGTGGCTCAATAGGCTAATCCTCCGCCTATGGCGCAAGCACACTGGGTTCTAGTCCCGGTCAGGGCGCCGGATTCTGTCCCGGTTGCCCCTCTTCCAGGCCAGCTCTCTGCTATGGCCTGGGAGTGCAGTGGAGGATGGCCCAAGTGCTTGGGCACTGCACCCGCATAGGAGACCAGGAGGCACACCTGGCTCCTGGCTTCAGAACAGCACGGTGCGCCAGCCACAGCAGCCATTGGAGGGTGAACCAATGGAAAAGGAAGACCTTTCTCTCTGTCTCTCTCTCTCTCACTGTCTACTCTGCCTATCAAAAAAAAAAAAATAAAGACACTGTTACTTCTAACTAGGTTTATGGAGAAGTCATAGCTCAACAAGCACCATTTAGGAATTCCTTGTCCTTTTTAGTTCACCTTCCCACTGATCTTTTTATAATAATGAACAAGTTGTCAGAAAACAAAACTACTATGACTGGGCAAAATGACAGGTGCATAAAGTACAGAGTATCTCGACAGTCATCAAAACTCCTCCCTCATGAATGGAAAGCACAATCCATTTTCCTTCCCAGAAAGTATGTGGCAAAAGGATTTCTTTCTCAAATATTCATTTTAAGATAAGGAGCAGTGAGACAGAGATCTATAATCATCTGATTTGGCAAGGTTTCTTTGAAGGTTACTTTGGTGGAACTGCCTGTTTTAAAGTTATGACAGCCTTTTATCAGAGCACAATGAATGTAAATGACAAGTAGTCATTGGCAGAGAAAAATCAGCAGTCACAGGAGAAGGAAAACCTATACAGAGACAACCTGGAAGAGCAGGCTAGGTAGCAAGAGAAATGACTCTCTTTCATGATCTCTCACTGGGAGTGTGGCAGGTTGGGGTCTGGATCTGTTCAGCCCTCCTTCCTCCTCATCAGAGTTCTCATATTATCAGGAAGGAGGGTAATAGGACCAGACTTCTGCTGACAGCATTCCTATTCTTTGGTTTATTCCTGTGTATATATATTTTATTTGTTTATGTTCATTTTATTTAAGGGCAGGTACACACACAGAGAGGAGAGGGAGAAAGAGAGAGAGGGAGATAAAGAGAGAGAGTGAGTTCTTCTATCCACTGGTTTTCCATCCAAATTCCCACAATAGCTAAGGCTGGGCCAAGCCAAAACCAGGAATCTAGGACTCCATGCAGGACCCAATTACTTGAGTATTCACTGCTGCCTCCCACGTGCGCATCAGCAAAGCTGGATCAGAAGCAGAGGAGCTCAGATTCTTACCAGGCACTATAATATGGAATGCAGGTACCCCAAGTGGTGACTTAACCACTATGCCACACACTGGCCCTGAGTTCATAGGTTTTACTAACAGCACAGATAGATATTTATTTACAATAAAGAATCAGGGGGGCTAGCGCTGTGGCTCAGTGGGTTAACGCCCTAGCCTGAAGTGCCGGCATCCCATATGGGCGCCGGTTCGAGACCCGGATGCTCCATTTCCGATCCAGCTCTCTGCTGTGGCCTGGGAAAGCAGTAGAAGATGGCCCAAAAGCTTGGGCCCCTGCACCCATGTGGGAGACCCAGAAGAAGCTCCTGGCTCCTGGCTTCGGATCAGCTCAACTCTGGCCATTGCAGCCATCTGGGGAGTGAACCAGCGGACAGAAGACCTCTCTCTCTCTGCCTCTCCTCTCTGTGTAACTCTGATTTCAAATAAATAAATAAATCTTAAAAAAAAGAATCTTAGGGAGGGGATATAGGAATACAGTTATAGAAGCAGGTTTTGTGATGTTAGCCTAAGCTTGAATCTAGACTTCCACATTTTACTTATATTACCTTCTTTTGTCTTTATCACTCACCTATAGCATCAGAACCTACTTTTATCACCATTATTTAGATAAGACCAGTCCAGTCAATTTAACAAGTTCACTCCAGTTTATGGGGAGTTCTGGGCTCCTGGTTTTAGCCTGGCATAGCTCAGGCTGCCGTGGGCATTTGTGGGGCAAACCAGCAGATCAAAGATTGCTCTTTATCTCTGCCTCTCTCTATCTCTCAGATAAAGTGAAAAGTATTTTTAAAAAATTTTAAATGGAAACAGAAAAAGTTTGGGGGGAAGAGAACAAGGAAAAAGCAATATTTCAATTAGTTACCCTTCCACATGTATATCACCAGCAATTTTCTTTATCTCCAGAGTAGCCAAATGGGGGAAAAAAGTCTTCTAAGAAGTGTAGTATAAGAATCACTTGTGAATGTAATGATTTATCTGCCTTTATGACTCACGGGCCTGCTCACCTACCCGTGAACTGCTTGTATGTACTCTGAAGCTGTTCTCAGCCTCTGTCACTCTTCCCTCAGCAACAGGTGCATTTGTCACCAAGAGCAGTTGCTCAGCAGTCAAGGCCTGGAACAAATGCCTCTTCCTCCAGGAAGCCCTTTGTGATTTTTACAGCATCCTGTACAGTCTCAGGGAATGGCCTCTTTCTCCCCTGTGCCATATTTGCATTGCTGTTGAGCTTGTAACCCTTCTGCATCTCAGGCACGCTTTTTCGATGTCTGCTTCCACAAATTCATAAAGTAGCTTGAAAACAAGGTACAGACAATGATTTTTTTCCTGAAAAAAAAAAATGAGTCCATTTCAATTGAATGCAGGAATGATGTAGGAGAGAGAATGTGTTGAAGTGGGAGTCTCAACACTTTCTTTACACTGAAAAGGAGAAAATGCAAAAGTTTTTTGTTTATTTGGCTGTTGTTTGTTCTTCTTTGTCTTTATCATTTTGTTTCTTGGTCTAAGGCAATGATTCTTAATCCTGGTTGCGTAACTCGCCTAATTTTCTGAAAATAATTTTAATGAGAAATAGCCTAACTATAATAAACAATCCACATAATTTTCTGAAAGTAGCAGGGATCAGGGCCTACCCTGAGGGTTCTGCTGTAACTGACTGAGGTGGGGTCCAACCGCCGGTGCTTCAAACAATTTCCCAGGCGATGCCAATGCACACTTGAGGTCCAGCGCTATCAGTGTCAAAAGGAATCCATTTTCCTGCAATTTTTAAAGCTTCATTAAGGTTTTTCATTTTCCCGTCTCCTCAGTTTCCTAATTTATTTATCATCTTAGTGTTTTGCTGTGTGTGTTTGTGGGAACCTCCTCAAATTCTTTTGAGAACAGAGAGAATTCAAATAATCAAATCACTAAAATGAACAGGCAATCTCCGTTCAGAGCGTCTCAGAGTCCGAAGATGTTTCCATCAGTCTTATGGAAAATGTTATGAAATTCCCCAAGTGAATTTTATTTCATTATAAAACCTAAGAAGTTTTAAGAGTAAGTTTTATAGGAAAAGTCATTCCATCCTCTTCCCATAGCCATGCCCCAAGTATTTATTTTAGCTAAAGGAAGCAACAAAAAAGGCAACGAAAAGATACACATATCTAAAAAACTCAAAAAGTCAGGTGTCTTACAATACTGGCTTCAGTTTCCTAACTTTCTTTCAGCCTAAAATTCTTAATGCTTATTAATTCATTGACTGAATTCTTTAAGGAAAAGGGACAATCTGCATCAGGACTGGCACAATTCTTTCAGGTTTCTGAAATTGTTAGATTGAACCAAACAAAAAGGAATTATATCAGTTAGCTTATATATTTCACTAGAACTCTCTGTAATGTAGCCAGGTCCCTTGTTCAAAATTAAATATTATAATGATTTGCTATAATTTTATCTTTTTTTTTGGACAGGCAGAGTTAGACAGTGAGAGAGAGAGAGAGAAAGAGAGAGAGAGAGAGAGAAAGAGGTCTTCCTTTTTCTGTTGGTTCACCCCTCAAGTGGCCGCTATGGCTGCAATGCGCGCTGTGTCAATCCGAAGCCAGGAGCCAGGTGCTTCCTCCGGGTTTCCCATGCAGGTGCAGGGCCCAAGGACCTGGGCCATCCTCCAGTGCACTTCCGGGCCACAGCAGACAGCTGGCCTGGAAGAGGAGCAACCAGGACAGAACCGGCACCCCAACCGGGACTAGAACCCGGGGTGCCAGCGCTGCAGGCGGAGGATTAGCCTAGTGAGCTGCAGCACTGGCCAATAATTTTATCTTAACTACATGTGATCAGTTGTATAAGCAATTAGGGCACTATGAAATCATTCTCATATATGTGGAAAGACTCCATAAAATCTTCCATTAATTGTCAGATTTAACTACATTGTACCAAATTTCACTACAATTATTGAATCAGGTCAAACATAAATTTTAAAATTTGAAAACAATAGTAAGTATAAAAGACCACAATCCTGACATACATGGCAAAAGCAAAAATTGGGCTTCACTGAAACTTGAAAGGGCACAAATATTGCCCTTACTCATTTCTGCAGGGGTTCTTCAAAGCGTTCATTTAAAATACATATTAGGAATAAACTGCATGGTTTCAATTTTATTGCAACAAAATAAATTTGTCTTTTAATTCTTTTCTGTGAACTTTTTGAAATACCCACATATATTCAGAATCAGTCTCTACTTAGAATTAGTTTTTTTTTTTTGAAGATTTATTTATTTATTTGACAGTCAGAGTTACACAGAGAGCAAAGGAGAGGCAGAAAGAGAGAGAGAGAGGTCTTCCATCTTCTGGTTCACTCTCCAATTGGTCTCAACAGCTGGAGCTGGGCCAATCTGAAGCCAGGAGCCAGTAGATTCTTCAGGGTCTCCCATGTGGGGACAGGGGTCCAGCTTCCACTGCTTTCCCAGGCCACAGCAGGGAGCTGGATCGGAAGTGGAACAGCTGGGACTCGAACCAGCACCCGGATGGAATGCCGGCACTGGAGGCGGCGGCCTTACCTGCTACACCACAGCCCTGGCCCCATCTATACTTAGATTTCACAAAACTTTTAGTATCTGATATTTTGTTTTTTGGGGAGGAATGATTATCACTCTGAAAAACTACCAAAAAGTAAATATTTTGAAAATAGCAAATAAACTATGTTTTTCAGGAGAGAGAGAGAGAGAGAGAGAGAGAGAGAGAGAGAGAGAGAGAAAGAGAGAGAGAGAACTGGAAGCACTTTCCCACCAGATAGCTCTTAAGGATGTAAGAACTGACTTGGTCGTATTTCAGAAATGCTCTCCGATTATGAGGTAAATTATGGGTAAAGCTGTTGCAATGTCTTTGTGTTATGGTCTCTTCATTTATAAGATAGCAATGAGGGCATCTTCAACTTTGCTTTAGCTGACATGGAAGTTATGAGATATAAATTCTATCCTTTTTGGTGAAAAGAGATGGAAGACTTACTTATCTGTAGTTATCAATCTTTGAAATTATCTAAGTCATAAACATTAGGAATCGACAGAGGTTTTAAAAATCTTATTAAAATGTCCCTAAAGTATGCATCAGTATTTCTATGTACATAAGACATTATTTTTTAAATTGCAGTAGTAAATTCAGAGATGAATTCATTTTTCCTCATGTGGTCTGTCTCTAACCTCTGGGATGCAACACATTTCTGTTTCCCAGAATTGCTTTTTTTCCCCCCTTAATTGGCCTCTCTGGATAATTCCACAGGATAAAAAAGAAAATAGTCTCTGGGATTAGTGACATTGCACAGGTGCGAAATGTACCATGGAAAAGCTAGTTAAATCTCAGAGGTAGATGATCCAACTATAAATTAAATGAGAAACACACAGCCTCATCAGTGCCCATATGTTGGTCAACTGGGGCTGCTCTTACCCGTGCAATCTTTATAAATGTAACAAGCCTGTTTCAATGCTAGCCACAGCACGAGCTTGATTTCTGTTTTGCATTGTAATAGATTATACAGTTTCAATTTTCAATGGACATGCCCTAACATATTGGGTCTCTCAGGAGACACAGCAGCAGCATTGACGAGGAGGGGCAGAGGGCTAAGTAATGCTAGGCAATATTTAAAATGCTTTTTTCTTGACAACCAGCAAACTGTGATTACCAAATAAGATGACTCACCACTTCCTGCTGTCAGAAATAATAGCACCTCTCATTATAGATGCTGGTTGCAGAATGACCATCTGAATGTCTACTCTCTGAAAGATGTGTCTTCACATATTGATGATAAGAAAAACGTGAACTTGTTATATATGAAAAATATCATATGCCTTTGCTTTTTATGTTGAGAAATGGGGTAAGGGAGAATGTTGTACCAAGGAAACAAACCCCAAGGCTGCACCACAGCAGGGTAGGATAATACCTGCTGGTGTTTGAGCCCCTTCACCAGAGGGCTCTACAAGTTGAATAAGCTAGAATCTAGGGTGAGCAACCATTCTCAGTTGTTCTGAGTCTCAATCCTCGAATACTAAGATTAAGAAATTCAGGAAGTCAATGCCAGTTGGTTAACATTCTGATAACTTTTCACTTACCATCAGTATACAATTGATCTGAAATAGTGTAAAATCATATATGAACTACCCCAACAACTGACAACTCTCCTAAAGCACTCTTGTAATGTAATTTAAGACAAGAAGTAAAGATATATTTTTCAAGATTCCCTTATCATTACATTTTGTCAAAGAATGTCCTGACCATTTTCTAAATATTTGCTCAGGGTTTGGCCGCCACCTTGCCTGAGATGACTGGGAGGTCCAGACAATATAATCCATAGCAGATTATTGAGTTGGGTTTGACGAATCTCAGCCTGGATGAAATTGTCCATGTTACTCTCTTGGAGGCTTTTAAGACTAGGGATCATGGACTTGAAAATTGCGCTGTATCTGATGAGATATTCCAATATGGTTTTCCTTAGAAGACCATGAGGCATGGCCACTCGGTAAAAAACAGGACTTCCCATGGTCAGTCAACATGGAAAGTGGCAGCTTCAGGACAGAAAATGAAATGAGAGAAAAGGTGAAATCTGAAGCATAGAAATGTCCAACACTTTCCTGGAGGGAAGACAGCACTTCCCTAATGAAGAAGAGGGAGACTCAGAACTGGGCAGGCAGGCACGTAGGAGCTACCCTGTGCGAGGATGTGTTCTGAGCGACGCCACATTTAGCACTGGCCCAGGAAGTTCATCTTCTGTAACCCCCAGAATATTTAGTGAAACTTTCTAAAACACGCATAAGTTGGGGGCCGGCGCTGTGGCATTCTCAGAATATCAGATCAGGAGATGACCTGCAATGGATCAAGCAGCAGATCCCTGGGGAGAGTACAAAACAGAAGACTGATGAGACCCCTGAAGATAGGCTCCATTTGTGGAGAACATACATTCCTGGATAGGGACAGGTGTCGAGCACAGTGGGTTAAGACTCTGGGACACCTGCATCCCACATCAGAGTTCCGGTTTGATCCTGGTTACTTCACCTCCCACTCAGATTCCTGCTAATGCGTTCTAGGAAGCACTGGATGATGGTGCAAGAGCTTGGGCCCCTTCCACTCATGCGAGAGAACTGAATAGAGTTGAAAGCTCCTGGCTTTGTATTGGTCCAGTCTTGATTGTTGTGGGCATTTGGAGAGTGAACCAGAGAATGGAAATCTCTCTCTCTCTCTCTCTCTCTCTCTCCCACCTCTTTCCCTCTCTCTGCCTTTCAAGTAGATATTAATAAATAAACATTGAAAAATTCTCTGGTAAAAGTTGGTTAGAGACTGGATTCCCTATAGTTGAACATGACAGGGCTGTCATCATAAAGCCTATTAAAAGGAATATGATTACATTTTGCAACTACAGGCTGGTAAAATATAAGGAACATTTGATTTCCAAATGTAAATAGAACATCTATTTGATAAAAATGATTCATAAGACAGAGTTTAATGGTCTCAGTGAAGATGGAATATCATATACACTCACTGTACTGACAGAGAACCATGGATGATGAAATGAAAACAGAACATGAAGATCAGGTGGTTAGTGTATCTTTGAAAAGGTAAAAGTTAAAATCATTGGTCAATAGTCACCCTTCAGAGAGTTGGTGTCACAGTAAAGGAGAATCAGAGACAATAATGGAATCATCCAAATGCTAGTTCTGAGATTTATGTTTTACAAACTCTGTTTATTTTCAGCCTTTTGCACTGGAGATTTGGTTACCTGTTTGGTAGGCAATGGTATGCCACCCGGTGGGAAATGGAATTTGTTCAGATCTGAGTGCTTTCCAGCTGTGCTTCCCTGGGTCTCTAGGTTTTCAACTGCTTACCATTAATTCTCTAACCTGTAAAGCAAACAGTGAGTATATGATCTCCAATACACTCTTCTGCTAGCATCATTTGAAATTATAACATTACATACTTTCTTTCCTCACTCAAACAGCTAATACGTAGTGAGCACATGCAGACAGTCTGCCTCAATGTACTCATTAAGCACCTCCCACTTTACAGTCTGCAAAGTTCTAAACCCGGGCTGGATTTAGCGTAAGCCGTTCAACATGATCTCCTTTTCCTAGTCACAAACATCAATAACGTATTGTATACAAACTCAGAGTATACTTTAAAAATAAGTGACCCCGGAAGACACAATTCAGTGACTTCAATTTATACCAAGATGTAAACACCTGATTATTTCTTGAGGATATGTCTTGGTGAAGTGCAAGGGCGGGAAGACCAGGAGGCTCTGAGCAGCAGGCCAGGAGCAGGGCATGTTGGTAAGTGAACAAACTTGGGAAACCTGGGCACGTTGGTGCTGCTGGTGCCCTTGATGTGATGCACTTGGGTATACCCTACGCACCACAAAAGACAAGTATGCCTGAATCTTGTTGGCTTGGGTTTTGTTTCGTTAAATATATTTACTTAAAGATAAGCTCAAATCTTTAGCCACTATTTTACTATGGAAAAAACAAAGACAAAACAAAACAAAACCCAAACTGGCAGGAACTGTTTTCAGTTCTTTGAAGTTTGGAGTGACATGAACTTTGGAAAAGTGGATTATGTTCAAACTGACCAAGTTTTTTTTTTTTTTTTTTAATTTTTTTTCAAGATTTATTTATCTATTTGAAAGTCAGAATAACAGAGAGAGAGAGGTCTTCCATGCACTGGCTCACCCTACAGACGGCCACAACAGCTGCAGCTGGGCAATTCAAAGCCAGGAGCCAAGAGCTTGTTCCAGGTCTCCCACGTGGGTGCAGGGGCCCAAGGACTTGGGCCATCCCCCTCTGCCTTCCCTGGTGCACCAGCAGAGAGCCAGATCAGAAGTGGAGCAGCAGGGATTCCAACCAGCACCCATATGGGATGCCAGCACTGCAGACAGCAGCTTAACTGGAGGTGCCACAGTGCTGGCCCCTAAGTATTTTTTTAAAAGATGTGTTTATTTATTTGAAAGACAGCTACAGAGAGAGAAGGAAAGAGAGAGAAAGAGAGAGAGAGAGAGATCTTCCATCTGCTGGTTCATTCCCCGAAATTACCACAATGGGCAGGCCCAAGCCAGGAGCTGGGAGTGTCATTATGGTCTCTCATATGTGTGGCAGGGGCCCAATTACTGGGGTCATTGTCTGCTGCTTTCCCAGGCACATTAGCAGAGAGATGGATTGGAAGTGGAGCAGCTGGGACATGAACTATTGGATGCTGGTGTCACAGGTGATGGCTTAACCCACTGTACCACAACACCAGCCCCATTGATCAAGTTTTTGATACAATATTTTTCTATGCATTTTATCACATGAAGTTTTTTCTGTTCTCGTATAATACTAGTGAAAACTGTGCACATAGAAGAAAGAAATCTGCTTTGAAACCAACAGTACCAAATAACTAGAGAAATTGCCTTTGACTTGGAGTGTTGTTACTGCTAAATACACCACTGGCCTGATTTGTCAACAGTAAGTGCAGCAATAAAGAAACAGAAAGAGAGATTAGCTACTACCCAGCCTTTGCTTAACTCCAGCCGATGTAACTGTGAAGAACATAATTCTACTTTATTCTTCTCCATGAAATGAATCCCACACATCACCATAACAGCCTGTCTTCTGTAGGAACCCCCACTGTGCACTGAGACCTCCAGCCCTCACCACCTCCCATTGCCATGAGTCACTTAACTCTGTTACCCTTGTGGACTGCGAGCTCCCCAAGGGCAGGCACCGTAATTATTCAACTCAGTCTTACCAGCACCTGGTACAGCATCTGCATAATATATGTGCTCAATTAGTGTTAATTGAATGAATGTAAACTGTTTTTATTTTCAAAGGCCCTTTATTTACATAAGACAGCATGGTTATAATGAGCAGAAGAATCTTAAATGTAACCTAGCAATATGTCTCTGTATTTTAGAAACTTAAAAAATGAAATGAATTTTTTAACCAATTATATATTTCCAAATCATGTAAGCAAAAATGTCCTTAAATTACTCCAAGTTTGTCATCTTTTTTTACGTGAATTGTAGCAAAATGGGGCTTTCATTTTGTCCTGCTTGATTTTAATTAGCACTATTGATATACAACAAAATATGCAAATTTAAGAAACATCTTAATGATGACAGTTTTTCCTTTCTAATTTTCAAATTTGTAGGCATGTTGATTTAGCCACTTAGTGTCTAAATATTTATTTACACAATGTCAACATGCAGGAAAAAGGGTAAATAGAAATGCTAGTGGTTTCAATCAGAGCTAGCTCTGAAATCTAAGATTAACTGAGTCTCAGATACTACAAACAAATACTTAGTCTTCTGGAGCAATGCTTAACTGGAGCCAACATCTCATTTAGAGCCCTGACAAACTCTCTCACGACATTTTCCTGAGTGAGGATAAAAATGAATATGATGAAGGACAAATACTAGCTCTGTGGTTCCATTCAGCTCCCTCCCCCTTATCTAGGTGACACGATTAGTTGTCTATGGTAGTATCTATGGGTGGAGTATCTATGGGTTAGATGACATCAGGCACTAAGAGCTGTGATATATGTTTGAAATATTATTGAGAACAATTCCAGCTAAACTGTTAGACAAGAAAGCAACCAGCTCAGACTGGCAGGTCTTCTCACAAACCTCAGAAAAGTCATTTAAAGTGAAGCACCTGTTAAATTATTTTGGAATCTGTGGATAAGTACCTACTCAACCCATTTATGCATATTGATGGATTTTTAATAAAGTCAAAATTCAATGTTTCAAATGTCTTTGTAATTTACAACTGTACTCCCATGAATACCTAAAGTGGTTTCTCACTGAAAGACTTAGGTGAGACTGCTAACTACAAAGTCCATGAGATGAGATAACCAACTCCGAATGATATAACTCTGTGGGACATGCAGGAATGTCTAAAGACACTGTTGACTGTCATAGCTGGGATTGGGATGCTGGGTGGGCAGATAGCCCCTAGCGTAGAGTTTGTAGAGCCAGAAATGTCGGTAGATCCTACAATGCACAGGACAGCTAATCCCTCTCCCTCAGCCAAGAATTATCCAGCCCAAAATGTTAATAATGTCAAGATTGAGAAACTGATGAAGAAAAATGAACAACTCCACCAGAGACCAGGTGCAATGAATATAACTTAGCATCAAAGTTATCTTTCAGTTTATTGGCCTCAAGTCATAGACACTAATGATAATTATACAAACAAGACTAAGGTGTTCTGGTGTTCCCCATAGATTTTTTTTTTAATTTGTTTATTTGGTACTGTTTTGGACCTTCTAATTAAAGGCAAAAATCTCTAAATTAGTTAATCAGTTGTAAAAATACTAGGGAACTAAAACTATTTTAGCTAACTAAGGTATTTTAAGGGTAATTATTTTTAATTCTAAATGAGTATAAGCTTTGAATTGTGTGTTTAACACTACATTTAACAAGTGAATTCTCAGTCCCCCTCCAAGGGAGAATATGGGAGCTAAAATTAAAAAAAAAAAAAACAGAAACAAAACAAATAAATGCTTATGTATCAGTATTGTACATATATAGTTTTATCAAACTTTATCTTTGCCAACCAATGGTTAAGAATGATATACTCACTAGGCTAATCCTCCACCTGCAGCGCCAGGACCCCGGGTTCCAGTCCCGGTCGGGGCGCCAGATTCTGTCCCTGTTGCTCCTCTTCCAGTCCAGCTCTTTGCTATGGCCTGGGAAGGCAGTGGAGGATGGCCCAAGTGCATGGGCCTTGCACCCGTATTGGAGACCCCGAGGAAGCATCTGGCTCCTGGCTTTGGATCTGGCCACTTGGAGGGTGAACCAACGGAAAAGGAAGACCTTTCTCTCTGTCTCTCTCTAACTCTGTCAAAAAAAAAAAAAAAAAAAAGAGAGAGAGAATATGCATAGTGATAGTCAAAGCAATATTTAAAAATAAAAGGAGATGATTTTCAAGTCATTAAATTGTATTATAAAACATAGTAGTAATTAAAATATGTGGAGTTGGCTAAGGAATAAACAACCACATCAGATGAATAGACAATCCAGAAACTGGTCCAGATATATTTTGTTAATTAGATCATGAGAGAGGCAGGGTTTTATATCAATAGAGAAATGGCGGATTATTCCATAAATGCTTTCCAGTAAACTGTGTAAATATTTTGAAAAAACATTATATTGTTCTATACAGCAAATATAATATTAAGTATTATATGTATTAAATGCCTAAATGTAAAAGACAACACAGAATAATAAAGAAAGTAACAGACTGTAGTTACAGCCTTGGAACAGGGGAGATCTTAGGAAAAGACACAAAATTTTCTAAGTTTGGCGATAGCAAACATTAACACTTCTGATAAATTAAAAACAAAAAGTGCTGACAATGAATAGACGGGGACACCCCAGGAGAAAATATTGGCAATGTGATGGAAATAAAAAATTTCATCAGTATTATTCAAAATATTCCTATAATTCAATTAGAAAAGGACAAGCAGTCCAATAAGAAGTTAGACCCCAAACAAGGTAGTAGTCAATTCATAGAAAAGAAAATGCAAGTACGAAAATGTATTCAATCTCACTAATATTTAGGGAAATAAAAATTCAAATATTTATTTATCTATCAGATTATCAAAATTAAAACATCTAAAGGTTTTAGAGAATATGAGGAATGTGATGTTCTCATTACAATTTAAAAATGTTGAGTATATATAACACACTTCTCAGAAATAATTCCATACATTCCCTTTAAAAGTACTATCCTGGCCGGCACCGTGGCTCAATAGGCTAATCCTCCGCCTTGCAGCACCAGCACACCAGGTTCTAGTCCCAGTCGGGGCGCCGGATTCTGTCCCGGTTGCCCCTCTTCCAGGCCAGCTCTCTTCTGTGGCCTGGGAGTGCAGTGGAGGACGGCCCAAGTGCTTGGGCCCTGCACCTGCATGGGAGTCCAGAAGCACCTGGCTCCTGGCTTCGGATCAGCACGGTGCGCCAGCCGCAGCGCGCCAGCCGCAGCGGCCATTGGAGGGTGAACCAATGGCAAAAGGAAGACCTTTCTCTCTGTCTCTCTCTCTCACTGTCCACTCTGCCTGTCAAAGAAAAAAAAATACTATCCTAGGATTACGAAAGCAGGAATAAAACTTTTTGTTCCAAAAGGCTTATAATATGCTTATAATATGGACTGAACTTTCATACATATGCTTTCTCTTGAAATAACATGTTCTGTTTTCACTTTTCCCTTGTCATGCCTTAGTTAGCAACAAACATTTTATTTAAGTGACCGTAGAAAAATTCTAACATAGTAGAAGATTAAATGAAATTCTCCAAATTTTGATAAAGCGAGGGTCATCACTGTGAATCAGCTTTTAGTTGACTTTTTGAGTTTGTGGGGAAAGTTTTGTAGCTGTTATTTGTGTGGGTTTTGCTGTGATTGTTGCTTATCAAGGACAGTATAAATGTAGAAAAAGCCAAGCAAAATATGCATGAGTTTTTTTTTTTTTCCTAAAGCGTCAACCTTTAAAAGGAAAGAAAATAAATAACACATTCACTTACTCTCATTCCTTCAGGAGTTATTTTTGTTTTCCACCTGGGGTGATCTCCACACTCTCAGCTGGAATTACTTTTACTTCTGTTCCCACGACTGTTCGCTCTTAGACCAGTGTGTGACGGAGCATCTTCTTCTTTAATTGATCTAATTTGCACGCATAATTCTGATGGAATTATTCATTGTGAAGTGCACCGTTGGGCCTTCTAGTCACCTGCTCCCCACCCCCCGTTTTTGTCCTGTGAATCCATTGCATTAATTTACCTGCAAATTCCTCCTTTCTCCAGAGGGTTCTCTTGGTTATGTAAATACTTTTATACAGATTTCCTATTACAAACTGTTCTCTCATTTCCTTTCTTCCTGGATTAGTAACAGAGGTCTTAGAAACTTCAAAGATCACTGTGATTCTTAATAACCCACTTTTCTAATAAATCAGAGAATATTTGTCATCTCTGATTCATTAATAGCCCAAATGTTGTAATAAACACTAAAATGTTGATACAGTGGTCTAGCCCTCAAAGATCCTAATTCAATTAACCTCTAGTTTCCAAGGTGCAATAACCATAAAGATACATAATTTTCAAGATAGCTTAACCCTGATTTATTCTGGTGTAAACTAGCTCAGGAACAATTGTAGATTACAAACATAGGACAGTTTTGATAGCAACACAATTTTAGTTTTCTAATTCTATGTAGCAGTAATATCTTGCTACCAGTACTTTTCCCCAAGATGCTTGAATTGTGACCTTATAGCAGCCTTATAATGACCTAAAGTGTGTGGATACTAGCCAATAAATTCAACTTATCAGAAAGTATTACTATTACATCATTCTTTATTTGCTCCCACGTTTATATCTCTCATAGCTCCTGGAGGTCATCAATTTACCAGCAGTGCAATAGATATTCCATTAATAAGGGAGGAAGTACGAAATGAAGGAAGGGAGGGTAGAGAGGGAGGGAAGGGTGGGAGGGGAAGAAAGGAATACAGCACACACACACACACACACACACACACGTGACTATAAGACTTAGAAAATGGTCACATAATCCTATTGCAGACATTGCAGCTAGACCCAGGTCCATAAACTTATACACATGAGCAAAGAGGATCATTCCTTGGTATAGCTGCTACTCTGATTCATGTAGGTGGAGCCATGACTCTGGCAAGCAGAAAGTGGGAGAATAACTTCTTGATTGTAGTTGATACCAGATGTAAAACAACAGTCTTACCCAATCTTCAGGCCAGCATTTGTACTCCTGACATATATTTAACTCCCTTTCTCCTGGCATGTGGGGAAATGGTAAGATGATAGCTCAATCCTTCCTTCCCTCCTTTCCAATCTCTCTCTCTCCCTCCCTTCCTACTTTCCTCCCTCTAGTCCTACTTTCTTGCCTTCATATAGCCTCTTTTTTCCCTTCTTTCTTCCAGCCCTTTTCTATAAAGATGAAACATCTTGACAGGGGCTCAGGATATACAGTTCTACATTATTTGTTAAATATACTAGCTACAGAGTCCCCCAAATCCTGGAAATTAGGCTCATATTAGAGAATTATTGTGACTTTGCATACAGCCATCAGATTTTAATATCTGTGATCAATTAATCTTTGTGAATTCTGGTCTAAGAAAGAAACATGGTGAGGTAACAGCTATTCATAGTAAAATGTACCTGCACTGAATAAATAGGAAATGCTAAATTGGAGAATTATCCTTATAGTACCTTCTGATCTCTATTGGATTATATCCTGAAATATTAATATTCTGGCTGACAGTGCAGTGTGACTCATATAGGCTGAACTGAATATGGATGAGTTTTATTAAGGAGCTGAATGAACTGCAAAAAATAAACAGTATCATAAGCGTTGGTGCTAATTCCTGGTACAGATGTAATCATAGGAAGAGATAAAAGCCAGTATGTGTATGAAGGAGGTGGTTTGAGGCATAGCTAAATAGTGGCAATACTTAATTTATTCAATGCTATGATGTCATTGTCTAAACTAATATGTATCTAAAAAGAAAATTCTCATGATCCTCAACTTTCCCAGTTTGAATGTAACCTGCCTATAAAAATGTGTTATCTTACTGTCATAATTAAAACTCCCATACCGTGCTGTGTGGCTAATTCTCTTTACCACAGCCACCTGAGTATGTGTAAAATTTGTGATGGAAATGGAATCTGTTTATTTTGATGGCATGGCTCTTGAATCATTTACCACGGTCAGTATTGCACAAAACTGCTGGGGCCAGATCCTGCTGATACGTTATTGCATTCAGACCTGTTACTTTACTTCTAGCAGGCAACAAAAAGTATCTCAGTGTCTGTGAGTTTTATATTAGTTTTCTTCTCTTTTGGTAAGTAGCTGTCTTCAATTTTTATTAATAGAATGCTGATCAGAATAAGCCAGAGGCTCTCATTCTCTGTGTCAATTTTCTTATCACTCACACCTTTGCTGCCCTTCAGCTCTGTTTTCTACCAGTGGACCTCAAAATGCTTGAAGTGCATTTTACTTTCTCAGTTGTTAGCATACTTCCAATTCCCACACCCCGACCACCTCCACAGACCCTCCAGTAATCCAGCCAGTGATCACATCTCCCTGGCTACCTTTACCTGTAGGATAACTGCTACAACACGGAACTGATCAAACGGAGAGGGTCAGAAGTCATATCCCAATACTTCTGTATTGGGATGAATGATGTACATACTGCCTCAGATTATAATGCCAGTCCTAATCACACGTGTAAGGGGAGAATATAATAGCCAAAATGTGACAGAATAGAAACCTTGAGATGTTGGTTTAAACAACCACTGCTTTATTATCTTATTTTTATTTATTTGAAAGACAGAGTTACAGTGAGAGGTAGAGACAGAGAGAGAGGTCTTCCATCCGCTGGTTCACTACCCAGATGGCCGCAATGACCAGAGCTGCACCAATCCGAAGCCAGGAGCCAGGAGCTTCCTCTGGGTCCCCAACGTGGGCACAGGGGCCCAAGGACTTGGGCCATCTCCCACTGCTTTCCCAGGCCATAGCAGAGAGTTGGACCGAAAGAGGAACAGCTGGGACCAGAACCAGCGCCCAAATGGGATGCCGGTGCTTCAAGCCAGGGCTTTAACTCACTGCACCACAGCACCTGCCCCCAACAATCATTGCTTTAAAAAATTAAATTTTAGGGGCCAGTTCTGTAGTGCAGCAGGTTAAGCCTTTCCATATGGATGCTGGTTCCAGTCCTGGCTGCTCCACTTCCAATCCAGCTCTCTGCTAGTGGCCTGGGAAAGCAGTGGAAGATGGCACAAGTACCCCTGTACTCACTTGGGAGACCCAGAACAAGCTCCTAGCTGCTGGCTTCAGCCTGGTCCAGCCTGGGTCATTGCAGCCATTTGTGGGAGGGTGAACCAGCAGTTGGAAGATTCTTTCCCTCTCTTTCTCTCTCTCTATTTCTGCCTTTCAAATAAAGAAATAAATCATTAAAAAATTAAATTTTAGGGGTACATATTTTGCCTGTCCATCATGATGCTGGTTAAGGCATTGTGTCCTGTATCAGAGTTTCGGTGCTTGGTGTGCGGCTCCAGCTTCTGACACCAGCTTCCTGCTAATGTACACTTGGGAGGCAGGGATGCTGGTTCAGGTATTTAGTTCTCTGCCACCTGCATGGGAGACCTGAGTTGATTTGCAGGCTCATGACTTCACCTGTCCAGCCCTGGCATTTGCGGGCATTTGAGGAGTGACTCAGCAGATGCAAGATTTCTTGGTCTGCCTCTGTCTCTCTGCCATTCAAGTAAATTAAAATAAGAAAAGAAAAGATCCTAAAGAAGGAGCCAACCTGGGAATATTACAGTGGAAGACTGTGTAAAGCTACAGTTTTAAGCAGAGCTTTGTGCATACAGAGAGTCAGTTTGAAAAAAGGACGCCAGGAAAGAGCATGCCACAGTCAAGTTCAGGGGTGGGGCAGGGAGAAGGATGCGTGAGAATTTTACTGGGCTGAAGTGAAAGTTCACCAGGGTTTGACAGTGGGTGAAATTATAAACCAGAGTCCCTCATACTCTGTCCTTAGGGTTCGTATTTGCATCTCTCCAAGATCAGGGAGGCCTTAAGGAGCCACTGGAGAAAATGCAGCAAACAGGGCCCATTGCAAACTGGCCCCATGAAAGAGCAGCTCTGGAAGGCACCTGGGTTTCCCCGGAGCCTGAAGCCATCACAGCCACCACAGCCTGGGCCACCTCGCTGGCCTGGGAGTGCATGAGGTATGCATATTTGTCATGTTAGAGTATGCAGCCATTCCTATTGTCTTCAATATATTACAGCAGAAATGGGAACCAGATTTTGTCACATGGCATTTTAGACTCTAAAAATATAATTAAATATACATTCTCTCTCTCTCTCTCTCTCTCTCTTTTTTTAAACAGACAGAGTGGACAGTGAGAGAGAGAGAGAGAGAGAGAGACAGAGAGAGAAAGGTCTTCCTTTGCCATTGGTTCACCCTCCAATGGCCGCCGCAGCTGATCCGAA